GTAGTACACACATATATATATATATATATATATATAGAGAGAGAGAGAGAGAGAGAGAGAACCCCAGAAAAATTGGCGACATTAACTGAAATATTAATGGGTTTTTGTGTGTGTGGCTCATGTTATTAGAGGATCAGATAACCAACAAAGTCATGGATCCATAACCAATTTGATACAAAAAGAGTTCAGGAAAATGTGCTTAAAATGCCATCAACTTTTTATCATTTGTATTTGCTTGTATGTTTTCTAATATATCTAGATTATTTTCAAAATACATATATAATAACTTAAATTTACAAAACGAAACCTAAACCCACTTATTACACTTTTGTATACAATCAATATACAGAAAAAAACAACATACGGGATATACATATGGGTGCAACTGTACAATAGACAGATATAATATTAAAGCAATTACATATCACATAAATATATAAAATATGATGTAATGTAACTGGCTTACCCATGGTGTGGATTCATCCACTACAAACTGGAATCCCTTTTGTTGATTTACCTCAGCTGTTGGAATCACTCCAAATCCGCCAAAGAAAAATAGCCTATGGAATCGGATAAATAAAATGTTACTCAGAATTAGTCAACAGGAATAATTTAGAACTCCATTTCTTAAGCAGACTGAAGAAAAACCTAAAATCTAAATTGCAAGGCACTAACTTATGAAAAACTGTACTAAATAGTGACTTATATCTGGATGTATATCTGTTCATATTGACAATTTTCCAACTTTCTAACCATTAATCACAGTGAAACTTTTAGGGATTATATATAGCCAAGAGGAAATCTAAAACACCTTACTTCATTAATTAATTAATTTTTATGAGTTTGACACCATTTAAATCTTCCCCCATTCATATTATTTACTTAGAATCTACTTCTCAAACTCTGACTTCCATAAGAGTCTGTAGTTAGCATACTGTGAAGCTGAGTGTTCACGATTCATGTCCCATTGACAAAAATGTGCTCAGCAATTTATTCCTTTTTGTGAGCTTGTGGCTATTTCAATTTTCCTTTTGTTACTATCCTAGTTCCTGTTTTAAAAATCAGTTATTTTTAAGGAAATTCAAATGCCAGATTAAAAGAAAACATGAAGAAATGTAAAAATATACATTTCTTAGAACATTCTATTCCTTCAAAAGTGAAACTAATTTTTATACAGCTCTCAGAGTCAACCAAACAAGTGTCACACATAACACATGCATACGTTTGTTCCCGTGTATGAACATTCTTCATATATAATACTCATTCTCTGTCCAATGAAAATTAATTGCACCACAATATAATCACTTGTTAGTTTATACAGTGATTATTCATAATCCAACCATTTAACTAATGCCACACTACCATTATACCTACAAACGTACAGGTAGTCATACTAATCCTAGCAGTAGTATGGTGAATACACTCACAGTTCCCAGTACAGAAATGCCATGACAAATAAATAGAAAATAAAGTTTTTTGGTTAAGGTTACTTCATGTGACTGACTGAGGTAAAATTTCATGTTTCAGTATGAGATGAATGGAAAGTCTGAAAAGGGTACATGAAATCATTACTGTTAATAATAGATTGTTCCATAGAAAATACTAGAACAGTACTTTGGTCAATGTACAACACCTGCACATGCTGAGGGAACAGTAGAAGTTTTGGGTTGCATCTCAGGTAACTCTGTGTTGTTGATCTACATAAAATTGATGGTTCTTGACTGCTGACAAGTACAAGCAGGGTTTGATCTATCATGTTATTCTCTACAAATTATGATCTATCATATTAATCTTTACAATCATTGATCACGTTATTCCCTCCAGGTTATGATCTATTACATTATTCCCTCCACATTCGCTTTAAACCTTGTTTTCATGCTACCTTAAGTTTATAATTGTACGACTGTGAAATATTGTTTCATATGTCCTGTGTTACTCCCCACTTATCAGTCAAGTTGTTTGGTTGCTGTTTGACCTTCTCAGTTTCTGTATAATCCATTACAGTCTGAATAATATTGATATCAGTATGTTTGTGCAGGTCAAGCAATATTTTGAAGGTTCCAGTAACATAGTTTCCTTTCTAGATATTGGCTCACTATACATGCGTCATTCTTGCTGTAAAACATTTTCTTGCTGCAAAATGAATCATTACTGTATGAGTCATGTATTGGAGGGAATAATGTAATAGATCATAACCGAAAATATTGTAATTTTTCTTAGTAACTATGTCATATACAGTATACACCCTACATTTATAAAAGTGTCCAAGGACTGTACCTACATTGTATACTATATTGTAAATAATTATGGGAATGTCCAGGTGATGCACTAAAAGAGTCACAAACCGTAATAAATTGCATCTAACTGGTCATTCTATTAGTACATTATGTTATTACATAAAATAAAAAAGAAAAGAAGTTGTAAAATGCACCAGTGTCTTTATAATGAAGTGGTTGTGACCACATGTATGTTATGGTTAATATTAGTTGATGGTAATTTTCAGATTGATAAAAGTCCCTATTTAAAATATTCCATCTGAAACAGATAGTTTAAACTTGCTTATTTGACTCTTGTAACTTAAACATTAAACCAAGTAGTATTAGTTTAGTATTTTGAATGTAGTTACTTTTAATTAAACCTCATATGAAGAATTAAATGGGGGTGGGGGGTATTCACTAATCTAAATGGGATAGATTGTTTACCAACTTTAAAAATATTCACTTTCATGTCTGCTCATAAATTTGCTGTCTTCTAGTGACTTTTGACGTGATGATGCATATAAATTGTATTTACAGTCAAGAAGCTATACAATTAATGAGGTAAAACTCAACAATTAGGGTCTTTCCATGCGTTTTGTATTGGAATTATTAGTTTCTTTTTTAATATCTTAGAAGTTACCTTTTTTTCTTTACTGATAAAACTAAAGATATATCAGTGTAAACTGTGTGTGTGTGTGCACAGATAACTGACGAACACATACTTATCTCTGTATTGCCATCCCACCAGTTTGTCACATGGCACTGGAGGTACATTTTCACCAACCACAAACTCCCACACTAAAGAATCCAGATCTAGTCGATACAAGTCATTTGTGTTTCCATTGTCCCGATACCCACCAAAGATGTAAAGAGAATCTGATACAACGATAGCCGTTGCTCCGGAGGTACCAGGTGGGGCACTACCTTCACATGGTTTCAGCTGCCTAGGCAGAAGTGAAAGATATTAGGTTTGTTTGATAACAAGCAGTTACTTGTATATGATAAAGGAAAACAAATTTCTCCTACTTGCAAACTTCCAAAACTGTTAACCAAAATAAAATTGCTAGTTAAAAATGATATAAATTGCATAAGCCAATATTACATTACCTTTTTATATATTTTCTAGTTGCTAATGTTTAAAACTTTGTAACCTAACCAAATTTTATCACAGACAGAATGATATCAATTATTGATATTACATAACTAAAAGAAATGATTATCACAAGATACTTGGTGAAACTAGAAACACCATATATATCAGCTTCATAGTTCTTTAACACTTAACATTTTCTCTCATCACTTAATGAATGATGACTAGCTACCACAAACAAGACCATTGGTCTCCTTTCTGGCTTTTATATCTCAGCCTCTACCCTTCTTATCAGCAAAGGATAAACACTTGTTACTACAACCGAGATCTTCAATCAGCTTTTAGGTCTTTACGTCTTAACAACTACTCTTCATGTCACTTGAGAAGTTAAAGGTTACTTTTATCTTTCTACAAGCTTCTGGTCAAATGCTAAAATATAACAAATTTAACAACCAATATTCATGTGAGCAAACAAATGCTCAAACTTTAAGCAACTTATAATTAGGAGAAGAATATTTCGGAAGTCCTGATAAGTTATAGAGAAATGCTTGAATATTATTTTACATCAAAGTCTTTCCACTGACCTGTCTCTGAAGGATAGAGATCTGAGCTATTTCTGGTGGAAACAATATGCTAAGTCATTACATAAAATTTTTATATTTGTTAGCAGATGGTTTAGGAAAAATTAAAGAAACATTACAACATGAAAATCTGTTCTTAATACAAAAATAACAGATTTCTATAATGGAAAAATTTTCTGAAGTAAGTTAAATACAAAAATCCAACTTTTTATTTGATATTAAAATGCCAAACTTTGCTCCGTTAGCTTTCTCAAAACATGACAGTTGCTTAAGGTTCACCAACTTACCATCTTTCTGCAAGAGGATCAAACACCCAAAGTTCTGAACCTGGAAGATAGCGAGCATCTGTGTCATCAGTAGAATTCTGCAAAAAAAAACAACATGTAAAATATAAATTACAAATGTTTTATTTGTTCTATTCATTACTTCCAAACATTCTGCCAAAGGCTTGGGGCTTCTGTCAGTTGTAATACCCAAACCTTCCACAGTCTTTACAATACCAGTAGCTCTCCCACACAAACTGCCATACCCTAAATGCATCACTTTTTATTGATCAATGTTGAAACTCATTTTCCACAGACTAGCCCACTCAGCAAGGCTTTCCAACTCTTTCTGTATTAATAAAGCCTTTTCCAGCAGATTAGTTTCATCAACAAATTTAGAAATCTTACTTCTTATACAGTATTACATATCAATATATATATATATACACACACACACACACACACACACACAACAATAAAAGTCTCATGAAATATCCTTGTGGGATCATACAACTCACATTTTCCCGATTAAAATAGAAATCATTTATCAAACTCTATAAATATATCAAAGGATACCTCATCAAAGCCTTCTGCAAGTCTAGGTATGAAATATCAACAACATCAAGACAAGTAAACATCCTATAAAAAAAAACATTCCAACAGACTAGTAAGAAAAAATCCCCTTCTTAAGTTATACTGAGAATTTAGAGTCAAATTTAAACTTTCAAAATACTTTTCCAGCTGGTTCATGACAGTAGCTTACTAACAACATATATACTATCAGCTAAACTTGTAATACCAAATTACTGAGAATAAGCAATATATATTTATATTATAACAAAATAATTCTTTTAAATTCATAACTTATAGAATAAAGATATAGCACGCTACTACACCAAAATATTCTCCAAGTGTTTATTAACCATTGTAAAAGTTGATAATGGATTGTAAGGTTGCAAAAAATATGGGTTATTTCATGTACAAAATCAAAGATTGCTATTTCTTTGTACATGTAATATATTATTCTTAATATATTAAAGTAATCAATAAAAATTGAAACTGTCACTAGGAAAACAAGCACTGACTTCATAAGAGTATTTAAAATTCTTACAAGCTTGAAACTTGGATAGGAAAGGTACTCATGGTAGGGTCTGTTAGGGTGGATAAATTAAAAGTTAGGAAAAGTCATTTGAATATAAGATTGTTCTGAATCATATATCAAACTTTTTTAAGACTGAAAGTTATATAATATGCATATGTCTGGAATGTTTGGTAGTGGAATAAAGGGTTGAATATGCAAGTTTTAATATAGGATAATATATTAAGCTTTAGAAACTTGGATACACATATGTTTTATTCTAAAATGATTTCTATACTACTATTAGTTATAAACTTATGGAAAGTTATGCCTGATGCTATTGTATGCATAAATTCTTAGCATTGCAACCTGAATGGCACATTACAAACAAATGGACTAAATGTTAAGGTCAGAGTCCCCTAGCAATTAAGTATAGTTGTCCATAAATTTGAACAACTATCACGGGCAAGGTAACCAGCACCACCCACATGCACAAAAGTTTTGTCAGGCTCTTTGAATAAATTAACAGGATTGACTATCACTTTAATAACAAGGATAAGGCTAAGTGTGTGGAGCATGTACAGCAGTATCACAATGTAAATGTGAGTGTTACATTTACTGATTTAGCATGTTTTTATTATGTTTGGTTTAAGATGGAAGAATTGGTAATGTTGATAGGCTGAAAAGCCTCCTGTCACTAGGTTACCTGCACTCTCCATCCTAACTCCCCATCAAATGTAAATGAAAGATTCCTCTATTGTGGTAATACTACTACTAGTAATAGTAGTATTGTAAATTTAGTTACTGCATGCACAAAGTGCTTGTTCAATTGTACATAGTGCTACTGACATAAAACAATGCTGCATATATAGATACATTTTATGGAATACCTTATTCAAAACATTCTGAAACATTGATGACGTAGTCGGTGTGAATAAAGATCTGAGTATAGCTGTACAAGAAATTTAAAATCATGTTTCATAAATCATGGCAAAGTTGTAAACATCTAAAACACAAGTTAATTCGTTGTTTAACGTTTAAAACTATTGAGCCTCTCCCTTAATTAGTTAATAAATGGTAGATTCAATGTTTCCTCTAGCTGACTACTCTATAGAATGAATTAATATTAAATCTAATGTTAAACAATAAAATGTACACAACTAGAGCAGTTTTAATGAATCTCACAGTCACAATAGTCAGCAAAACAACGACTGAACGAGTTTCCGACTACGTGGCGCAATACACTTTATACAGTAACAGTACAAAGTAATGTCCCACGTAATTGGTATTTAATTTATAGAGGAAAATACATAACACAGAAGAGAAATTAAAACCATAAAGATTACCTTGTAGCCTCCCCAAACTAGCATACATTTATTATACGTCACAGCAACATGGCCTGTCCTCCTGAAAGGCTGCACTGAAAACATCGACTCTTCCGCCATAATAGAACCAAAGTTTCTTACTGATACCCACAAGATGGAAACAAATTCTAGAAAATCACGACTTGATTTAGGCAGATGTTTTTTCAGTGAAATGAATTGAAAAGCCACGATGGGCCAAAAGGCCCTTTGTTGTCTCTCAAATATTATGTTATATACTCATTGCAACGATTTACTCTTGTTAGGCGTGACAACAGTATTGACATTACACAAAATGCTTATTTCTTGAAATGAAAACCAAATAAAAGAAGGGGAACATGATTTAAATAATATCTTAATATGCGTCATAAAAACTTAACGATAATAAATTAAATGTTAGGCTGACTGAATATTTAAATATTATTGAAAGCAGAAAACATTAAATTGAAAAAAATTAACGAACGAATGAAACGAGTATATGATTATGAACAGTATAGTTTTAAAACTACTGTTGCAATTTAAGGTATTCCTAAATCAAATGTTGAAAATAGAGTTTAAATTGTACTATGTGTTGTGAAACCCTAGGGTAAAGGGTTAATATAATAAAAAATGAAATTGATATGCATTATCTTCGTAGATCATAGCTAAATAGGTTTGTATTTATACTCGTAAGATGGATTGTAAAAGACAAATTTATCAGGTAAAGGCGAGTCTCAAAAGATGGGTTAGAAGTTGGTCAGCCCATGTATGCTCATGCTCGTGACTTCAGAAAAGAAAATAATACCTAGTTCTGTGATATTTTATTGTGAAAAACATATGCTTCTAAATTTATTCATATTAAATTCAAAACTAATTTGGTCCTTCCCAACAATTAAATACTTCTTGAGAAGAATTATATTCAAGTGATATACCAATAAATATAAATTTTGTTACAGAATAGTGGGTCTATAATAATGACATCATTGTCAAGAGCGTAACTTTGATCTTGGGTGCGTGAAGTAACAATGCTTAATTAACCAAAAAAAAAGCCAAAAAGACGAACGTAATATATAAATAAAACAGCACTACTGAATTACCAGCAGCAAACCGCAAAGTTAAATGAACCTGTAAGTATTCGGTTTTTATTTTATTACCATGTACTTGCTTTAAATTTTAACAAACCAATTTATAATGAAGCAATATATTTATGTTGTAATTCAGATCTTAACTAGAGAGTGCATGACGTTAAGATTAAGTGAGTTTGAGAGAATAGGCCTAGAATGTTCTAAATTGATGTCACAAAAACCTAGAGACTTTGCTAAATATCTAGAACAACGATCGGATTATAAATGCGGCGGAGCCAGTCATTTGGATAAGTAAGCATGCAGTGAAACACCAAAAAATAGTGAGCTTTTTTTTTTTTTTAGCTTGTAGACCGGATCATGTAGTTGGTGTGTTTACGTTTTTGAATTTGTATTAGCTATCGCACATATTGAATTACGTTGTGTTTTGTTGTTGGCCTATGTTTATACTCATGCTATCTGCACCACGTTAATTAGAACTCATGATACTGAAGTCAATAAGTACACCAATACATGCTTCTCACATTATTATAGTTTGTGAAACATACTTAACACCAAATCTTATTTATACTTTCAAGGTTATTCTGGTTATGGTCTTGAACATTCTCATTAACCCCCTTTTCTTCAGCAAAGTGTTAACTACTTCCAGTTGGTACATGGAAGATTTTCCCCTTGAATGTTTTCAAGTTAAATTTTTAGTGAGTTTTCTATTCACTATTCTGTTTCTGTATACAGCCCTTGTACTAACTATACTTGTGTACATTTAATTTGGATGGTTCTGGAAACTAACTCTTATTTCTTTATTGGTGAGGCGTTCAATACATCTCACTCCTAACAGCAAGCTAGGTCCCACTGTTTAGTATCATTCTTTTAAATTTTAAAAAAGTGTCTCAAGAGAGATTATTTTCTTTGCAAAGCAACTTCAATTTTTGAACATTATTTTCTGATAACTGAAATGACATCTGATTTAGAACTATACTGATTGGTGTCATTTATAACTGTAGATCTTGTCAACAGTCATAAAAGGGCTTAATGACATGTTCCTTGATGGTATGTTGAATGTAATCATTTAGAATCTCTTTGATGTAGATCATATTGTTCCTTCAGCAGAAGATTCATAGCAAGTAACCTAAGTTACTATAGATATATTAAAGCTCATGCTCAAAGGTATATCTGTGGTCATGAATGAAGGATGTGGAGACAGTTTTGTTCTTCTTTGAATGAAGGTTCATCTCTCTCCCTTGTTTGGAAATGTTATTGGTAATACATGCTGAAGATATGAAGGCCACATTTTTATGCCTCCCACTGACTTCTTCTAAAGCCTTTAATTCCCATGTGGATGCAGAATTCCTCCATTTAGTCCTTTGAAACTCTTTGAATATTTTCAGGAATCAGTTAATATATATGTTTTTTTTTCAATTAGAATTAAAATCTACACTTTCTAAATGTACTTAGTCTCCTGGACCAGATGATTTTACTTTATATTCTTCCAGCTTGTTATTCAGGTTGGGAGATTTTTTTAGTCTGTTTAGTGACTATGGGGTTCCTGGTACTTGTTCAAGTCATTGGAAAAATATGTACATAATACTAGTTATTAAGCCTGGAAAACTAATTACCTTATCATTCACTTGTGTTATCTTCATGTATTATTAAACTCATAGAACTTAAGGTTAGTATGTTATTAATCTGGCATCTTGAACATCACGATAAATTATTTTAATGTCAGGTAGAGTCCCATGAACAAAAGATTTGCTCTTGATTGTATAGTTGATCATCAGGAATACATTCGTCTAACCCTAGTAACTGGTGGATATGTGGTGACTTTTTTATATGTTGAATTTGCTTTTGATGAATTACTCAAAATATGTTTAGGTATAGAAACATAATTTTGTAATGGGTGCAAAATTACTTGCATGGTGTACATTTGCTGTTTTTACAAGAAGGGATCCAAGCTAAATCCCACTCCGTTTAGCATTATGCTTTTTTAATTTTCAAAAAGTGTCTCAAGAGAGATAATAATGGTACAATCGTTTAGATGATATTTCCATATGAGTCAAGAAGTTAATATTTAGCCTCAAATGCCACACTCTTCAAAAGACTTTAAACTTAATTCAGGTGGTTGGTTGTTTGGGGGTTTGGCAACATGGCTATCTGTGCCAAACAATCTGTAAAAAGAAAAAAAGGAAACTCTATAAAAATAAATCAAGTTAAAAGTTAAACACTGCCCAAAAATCAGGTAAAAAATTAAATGAAATTAAAAAAAAGGCCTATGGCCTTCAGAAATCTAAAAACACAAGCAAGCTGGACAATATCACCATACCTAATGACATTGTCCAATGTCAAAGATAAACCCTTAGAAAATGCATGTCTAAAAATGGTACCACTTCTCACAATCGTAATGACGACATGAAAGTAAAATCTGGGCAATTGAGACCCGAGTGTCACCAGGGCTACAATTGGCGGACCAGTCCCACAAAAAAAGAAAAGGATAAGTAAAAAAAATCGGTTATAATGACCAGTCTCACATAAAACAAAAGGAAAAGTAAAAAAAAAATGTAACAATGCTGAGCTTAGAGAAGATAACTTCCTCCCTCTGATCCTTATGGAAACTAGACATCTAAAGTACAATAGGAGGTTTTAGTTGTAAAAGCTTGTTATGAACTTGTTCACCCCAAATCAACTGCCAACTGTTATGAAGCTGTGCCTTGATCATAGGACCATAGTCCACATACAGGACAGGCATAACTGTGACAACGCCAGAGCATATGGACTTAGCTGCAGTGTCAGGAAGCTCATTCCCATG